GCACCGCAGGCAAATGGGTTTCCAGGGGAAAATAAGGTCAAGTTTAGCTGAGAGTGAGGGATTTGGAGCACCAGAGAACTCGGTGACCATCATAATATGCTCTCCAAATGCTTTAAAAAACCGCTTTCATTTATGAATTGTACAAACTCGATGACTTTAGCTAGAACTGATGTAGGTACAGGCTAACATGAGTTTTAAACCTTAACTGTGTCCTCATTCAGTGTCTGTGTCAGGGTTTTGGATGAAACCTGAGCCGTCCTTGTCTTAAGCTTTTTTTGGCTCCTCGGGCCAGTTCTACTTTCAGTCCACACATACTGGAGAGTCCAGTGTTGATGGTTGAATAGCTTTTGTGTTTAGTCACGACATGGAGACATGCCAGTTGCTTGAAAGTGATGATGCTCCCTCTGGCTACGAGATACAAAAACACAGAGAGAAGTTATTTAAGAGCTTATTCTTGCTGTCGGCATGGAATGTGTTTTCATCGCAGTCGCAGGAAAACATCCTGTTCTCATATTCCCAGGAACCAATGATCAACATTTTCAGGTGACGTGCGGAGTGTTTTTGTGTCTGTTTTTCATTTTTGTTTATTTGCTAAAAGTAGAATTTCCTCACTATATTGTGCAAGACATCACGTTTTCCTTTTTTATCCTGTTTTCCACTGCAGTCATGGCTACAACAGTATGGCTACCTTCCCCCAGGGGACTTGAGAACCCATGCCCTTCGCTCCCCAAACTCCATCTCCTCCGCCATCGCTGCCATGCAGAGGTTCTATGGCCTCACCGTCAGTGGTAGCTTTGACGCAGACACCGTCAAGTGAGTATCACGCAGTGTCGTTTTTTTCAAGCACATTTAAGCGTACGTTGTCATGAGCGCGGCCTGTCTTACTGTCTGGCAGGGCCATGAAGCGACCGCGCTGTGGGGTCCCTGATAAGTTTGGTGCTGAGCTCAAGAGCAACCTGAGGAGGAAGCGGTACGCCATCCAGGGCCTGAAGTGGCCCAAAACAGAGATCACTTTCTCGTAAGTCACAGAGTTATGAAATAAACATGAAGCAGCCTGCAATTATGTCTCTGTAAAAAGGAATTAACTGTCTCGCCTTTTTAACACACTGTTTAGTATACAGAACTACACCCCAAAGGTGGGTGAGTATGAGACCTACGAGGCCATCAGGAAGGCCTTCAAGGTGTGGGAGGGCGTCACCCCGCTTCGCTTCCGGGAAATTCCCTACAGCTACATACGGGACAAAGTGGAGGAGTTTGCTGACATCATGATATTCTTTGCTGAGGGTTTCCACGGTGACAGCAGCCCATTTGATGGCGAGGGGGGATTCCTGGCACACGCCTATTTTCCTGGCATTGGCATCGGTGGAGACACTCACTTTGATTCGGCTGAGCCGTGGACAGTTGGAAACCGGGACCTGTTAGGTAAAGTTTCATGTTGAAACTGAAATTTCAATAGATGACTAATTCCCCAAAACCTGACACAAGAAAAACTTAAATGTTGGGAGGGGACCTCTCTGACTCTGTTTTGCTGTCAAAAGCAAAAGCTAAGCCGCGACAGGCCCCAGCTTGTGTTTGTAACTTCAGGCAGTGAGCACCTGTGTGCAAAAATGCAGCAGACACAAACCGCAGTGTCAGCTCCTCGAGTCTAACACATCTTCACATGAGCTGCTGATGATTTTATTTTTAACTACTTGGTGTCTAGTTGTGTGCTTCTGAGTCACTTGAAAATAAGGAAACAGCACTTTTTCCTCATTCTCCTTTAGGACTGTCTCAAAATCCTCCCACTTTATGTCTAACACTTTGGCCTAATTTTAAAAAAGTTGTTAAACTGTAATTTTTCTTGTCGATGTTGTTTCAGGGAATGATATTTTCCTCGTTGCTGTGCATGAACTTGGTCACGCCATGGGTCTCGAGCACTCTAACGACCCCTCAGCCATCATGGCTCCGTTCTACCAGTGGATGGACACTGAGAACTTCCAGCTTCCAGATGATGACCGCAGAGGCATACAGCAGCTTTATGGTTTGTACAAA